TTTTCCTTTAGAAGCGCTCTTATTTGGGAAAGCAGATTTGCACATATCCAGAAAGCAATGCTTAAAAAAAAATGAATCACTTATACTGGGTTCTTGATACTGGCTTATTAGGAAAATAAGTGATAATGTAGGCTCCTGCAGATGATATAAATATCTTGATTTGTATTGTTAATTGTTCAGCCGCTCTAATATTTGGGATAATCTTGTTTGAGCTCACTGCCCTTATTGGGAGTCACTTTTAGGCTGAAATGCACTCACACAGTGGGGGTGCCTGGCCAGCGCCTCACTGTTTTCTGGGGAAATGAATACAATTTGGGCGGTTATGTTTCCTGAATGTAGGAATGGGATTTATTAGTTTATTCATTCAAAGACCATTTAGTGAGCACGTACTGTGTGCCCAGCTCTGCACTAGTGCAGTATATTCAGTAGGCTGGCAGCATTGCCCAGCATGTTTGTGTCCTTGATGTCAAATGTTAGGAAGGTAAATGTAATTCACCAGGAAACATATAACCAGATTTCCATGTGTCTTCAAAGGGGCCTTTTACTTAAGTGGTGAGGTGACTTCTCTTCCCATGCAATATTGACTTAGTACACAGCAGCCTGCTCAGGAGGTAATTCAGCTTTCTTCTTTTCCTTCTGAGCTGTTTTCTTTTGGATGAGTCCATCCAGGTGTATGAAGTAGCCCACCCGCCCCCTAAAGGCCCAGGAAGACACTGGAAAAAGATGCCAGACTGACTCAGATTTCTCCCAGGAACCTCTCTGGCAGACCTCTGTGCCTCTGCAGAAGGTGTAGAGAATGGCCCCTCCAGGGGCCTCCCTAGGCCCCAGGCTTTAGGTCACACAGGGAGCAGAGGAGGAAGAAGCTGTCCCCTTCCTTAGACGTGGCCTCCCACCCTTTGAAATTAATTTTCCATTGTCTGATAACATCCTAGCGCCCCCCCCAACAGCCCCTGATTCAAAACCTAAGCCAAATATAAAATGCAAACCTAAGCTTCATTTTTATGAAGATGTCTGCCCATGGTGTATTTTCTGATCTGCCGATTAGAAACAAAACAAAAACAAAAACAAAAATAAAAAAGAAAACAAGATGAAGTAAAAAGCAAGATGGGACTGATTGTATTTTAAATCAGTCATTCATTTATTTAAGTCTATAAAAGTGTTTCCTCCTAAAGGCAGACAGTGAATATTTTATTTTAATCTTGTAGTTTTCATCGAGATAGGCCTTTTAACCCTTCATTCTCCAGCTCAGCCCAAGTCCCCGGGCCAGGCGATCCTCCACACGAGGGCTGGGACTGTATTAAGAGTCCTTCTTCGAGTTGTTTGTTGACCACATTCACGTTCAGAGCCCTAGAGCTAAAAGCACTTTACACCATAAAATAAAAGCGCTGTCTTTTTTTCTAAAAGGTTACTTCTGGAGGCCACGCGGCTCATACTTCATACCGAAAACTACTGAAAGGACTATGAAATCCTCTATGATTTACACGCTCTCACTGCATTAGGGTATAGATCTACTCGACTCTAAAAATACGGTGGGTTTCTAACCGACGTGAATATATGTGCATTATTTCAGAAAGTCTGTTAGAAAACTTGTCAACACATTATAAAGCATAAACCAGGACTTGGCTATTAAGTACGGAGATCAGAGGCAGAATATACACTGCAGGAAGTGCTGGGGAGTCTCCTCCTCGGGCCAGATAAAAAGGGGGGAGGAGAAGGGAGGGGTCGCCGGCTGGCCCAAGTTTGCTAGCAGTGAGTGTCGTCACCAAAGGTTTGGGAAAGAGCCCTCGGAGCGTAATTACCCTCTCCATGCCAGCAGCGAAGGTTTCACAGCCCCAAACGAAGTTAACTGGCCGGCCAGAACATAATTTTAACGTTGTCATAATTTATTACTTTCCAAAAGCTATTCCTCGAAAGGTAAATATACTTATTGTGTATCCAAGTGTGCGCGTTTAAAGTGATCCTGCAACCTCCTCTACAAAACCACCTGCATCATTAATCAATACTTATGTAATATTTTAAAATCTCCTAAAACAACACATTTTTACCTCTTTAAACACAGGGTACGAGCCCTCCCCCTCCCCCACTTTTGGGCTCTGCAGTGAGCCTCCAGCAGCGAAGAGGAGGGGGCGTCGCGGGTACCCGAGAGCGCGAGGGGCTGGGGGGGGGGGGTCGGCGAGCAGAGCTCAGATGCCGACGCTCAGCCCCGGCTCTCGGCGCTGGCGAAATCCGGCTGGGGGAGGGGCGGGCACGGAGGGCACTTCTCCCTTCACCCTGCGCATTTTATGACGGTGAAATTAAATATATGTTAATGGTGGAAACGTCCCTGCTTACCTCTCCTTTGGCATCCAGGGAAAGCAGCTGCAATGCTGGCTTTTTAATGTATGTTTTAAGATGTGGTCTCGGAAGGAACCCCCTGGAATCTCAAACAAGTGCAGTAACCGAGCAGACCTACTTGTAACTAAGTGCTTAATTTCCTATGATTTTTTTTAAAAAAGAAAATCAATAAAGTGTTGCCAGTTATTTATTGGAAATAACCACAGATAGTGGCCCTGATAGGGTGCCGGTTTTAGAGAGCACACGATTGTGTAATGAATTGTAATTCAGGAGACTGTTAAACGTGAACCACAGAACCTTTCAGAGGTAATAAAGTCATTACTTTTTACACCACCGCCAACCCTGAAAAGCTATATACACACCATTATATATAAATCACACACGTACAGTATGTATCTCCAGAACACAGTTCACTTATTTATCTATCTTCTCTGTGCATGGACTTTTATGGACGGACGGGAACAAAATTCAGATCTGAAAAGCTGGGTTCTGAAAGAACCTGGCTCACTATTGTTACCTGGAAGGGGCGTTTATTTTATTTATTTATTTTCCCGAAGGCCTCCTGGTCGCACTTTCTTCTCTCTGTCTTCCAGCGGTCCACGCAGTTCAGCCTTCCCTCCTCCCCCCGCAGGGATATTCATTGAGTGGCTTCGTGGCTGGTTTAACAAGACAAAAAACAGACAGTAGTGGAAGAGAGATGCTGACCTGCTCGGAAGAACTCAGTGCAAAGGGGAAATGGTGTCGCGCACATGCCACAGAGCTTCCCTGCAAGTGAGTCTTCCTGCTTCTCTAGCAGTTTGAGCTCCGCTCTCCAAACTGGAGGGAAACAATAACAGCCCCCACCCCCACTCCCACCCCACCCCAATTTCACGAACCCAGCCCAGCCCACACCTCTCCTGATGTTGGGCAGCTAAACCTCTTTTTCTTCTTTAAAGGGGCCCAAAGCTTCGTGGAGATAGGCAAGCCAGTTATTTCCTAATACATTCCAAAGTTTCCTAAGAGGACGCAGGAATAAACAGTCGCTCGCCGGCGAGGCTGGGAGACGAGGGAGCGAGCGCAAGCCCGAGGCCCTGGCTTAAAACAATAAAGCCCCACGCGGGGTGGGTGCGTTTACGGAAACCACCCTCAGGCCGAGGAGGGGGCCGAGAAGACGCCAGAGGACCTGGAGTCGCTCGGAGGAGAGGGATGCAAGGCTCCTGGCTCCGGGCACACAACTCACACGCGTCCACCTGCAGCTCGGGGTCTCGCGGGCCGCGGCCACCCGTGTCCACCCTGCACCCTCGCGCCGCCCTCGGACTCCGGTCCGTTTCCTCTGCCCTCCCGGCCCTTCCGGATTTGGAATCGGAGCCCGGGCTCCCCGGCGGCGGCGGCGGCGGCGGTGGCGGCGGCTGGGTGGTGCAGGCGGGAGGGGAGGCTGGGAGGCGGGAGCCGCCGGGGGACTTTGCAAGCACGTTTCTGAATAAACTTTCCAATCGCAGGGGGTGCTGTTGCTGTACATTTTACGTAAAACTGAAAGTATCCCACGCCAGAGTGAAGCCCGCTTTTTGACAGCGGAAACGCGCGCGCGTGTGCGTGTGCATTAAAGAGACAGGGGTTTATTTCCAACAGGTCTCCCCTAATTTCCAGGCAACGTCTGCAGAAAGGCGAGCCGGGGCTGCGGGCTGCGGCCAGCGCGCGGTGCCCGCCGGCGTACGGGGAGCGCTGCGCTGGCCGGGGCGGTCATCTGGTCCCCGTGGCCTCCCCGCTACTCCTGCGAGCCAGAGCCAGCCACTCTCTGTCCCTTCCCCATTTTCGCTTTCCCCGGTAGCAGCACACCAATAGTTGTGATCTGCCCGTAAGAAATATTTCTTTGCATCCCTCCGTGTTTTTGCAGTTGCTCTGGAACGGGAGGGGGGTGTGTCCCTTTCTGGGACCCGGCTCGGGGACCTCCCGCGGCCCCGGAATCTCGTGCCCGGGGATCAGGACTCCGGGGACTGCCAGTGCTTTGTCCTTCGACCCTCGGCCGTTTGGAGGTGGACGCCTTCGCGCCTCCCTCGACTCGGGCCCCAGAGCTCTCCTCCCGGGGCTGGAGAGCGCCCTGACTCTGGCTCTTCGGTCCTTATTTCTCCGCCCCGGGCTCCCTCTCCCTCTCGGCGACCCTAGGGACCTGGGGACTCGGTGCTTCGGTTGCATTCAGATCCAGTGGCTGGTCGGGGTGCTCAGCTCCTAGACTCCCGGCGTGGCCTTGGGGGCGCCCTCCCGGCCCGTGGGCCCCAGCCTCGCGTCCCTGACCCCACCCCCTCCCGGCAGGCCTCCGGGGCTCCGGGAGGCCCCGGCGCTGCCCTTCCGGACCCGCGACCCTCCAGACTTGGGCCGGATCCCGCTTCGCCGCGCGCGCGCACGCTCCCGCCTTCCCCTCGCCCGCTTCGGAGCTGCAACTTGGATGTTCAGCTCTTAACTTCGGCTGATTTTAATTTTCTCTCCTCTCCTCGGGCAAAGTTTCCCGAGCGCTGCCGCGGGCTCGGGGCTTGCACTTGGGCCCCGGGCGTCCGCAGGCGGGAGCGGGAGCGTGCGCGGCGAAGGCGGCAGCGGGAGGGGAAGTGGGTGTGCGCACGGAGGAGGGTGTCCCGAGCAACTCTACCTGGCTCCCTCGCCCTGCCCGCGCCTCCCGGCCCGGACTGCCGCCTCCCGGTGCACTCCCCCCCCCCGCTTTCCCCCCATAATCTTTCATTTTAGGATCTGCGCGCGCGTGTGTTTTGGGGGGGAGCAGGGCGCAAGTCTTGCTCCCCCCCTCCCCTTTCTTCTCTCCGGGCCACGCCACCGCCGTGGCGCTCGCTGCGGCCACTGGTGAGCCCGCGGCCCCAGGCCCCCTCCCCTCCCCTCCGCCCGCCCCTCCCCCAGGGGCCGCGTCTGGCGTCTGCGGAGCCCCCCGCCCCGCACCTCCCCCGCCCCGCACTGGCCATTGGCTTGTCCTGGTCTCTTTTTCATGTCCAGCCCCTGATGTGTGTCCATTGGTGTGAGCTTCCCCTTCCCTCCTCCCCTTCTCTCCTGCTCGCCCTGCCCATGTTTTGTGTGTCTCTGTCCATCCAGACTCCTGACGTTCAAGTTCGCAGGGACGTCACGTCCGCACTTGAACTTGCAGCTCAGGGGGGCTTTTGCCATTTTTTTCATCTCTCTCTCTCTCTCTCTCCCTCTATCTCTCTTCTCTCTCTCTCTCTCTCTTTTTTTTTTTGCTAAAAAAAAAAAAAAAGCCATGACGGCTCTCCCACAATTCATCTTCCCTGCGCCATCTTTGTATTATTTCTAATTTATTTTGGATGTCAAAAGGCACTGATGAAGATATTTTCTCTGGAGTCTCCTTCTTTCTAACCCGGCTCTCCCGATGTGAACCGAGCCGTCGTCCGTCCGCTGCTGCCGCCGCCGCCGCCCGCCCCGCAGCCCACCATGTCTCGCCGCAAGCAAGGCAAACCCCAGCACTTAAGCAAACGGGAATTCTCGCGTAAGTAACCCAATAATAGTAATAATAATTATTAATAATCACGAGAGCGCGCAGAACGAGAAGCAAAAGCGAGGAGGGGGGAAAGGGGTGTGTGCATGCATTTTTAAATTTTTTCACGTGAAAAACATCCGCCGAGTCAAGATAAAAGAGATTAAAGGGGGTAAAAAGCCCCTCATTCCCTCCTGATCACAGCCGTGTATGCACTTTTGAGATAGCACGCATCTTTTAATTTTATTTAATTTTACCAACCTTTGGCTGCCCCCTTCGGCCTTTCTGCGGCTTGATTTCTCTTGTCGAAAAGGAATGCAATGCCCCTCCACAGTTTTGCAAAATAATGAACAATGCTAAGGATGCGAACAACTCACTGCAAGCCTGGGGGTGTGTGTGTGTGGGGGGGAGCTGTGGAAAGAGGGGTTGCTTTCACTCACTGTAGGAAAACGGAGTGGGGTGGGAGGCAAAGAGTCTAAGTCTAAAAAACAATTCCTAGGGAGAAAAGGAGGTGAGACCAGCCCTTGGACACTAGCGCTCTCACAGTCAAACGTGAAGCGGGAGGAAAGTAGGCATCCCCCCAATAGTGAGGACGTGGGACCGTGGAGTGGGGCCTCTGGCACTGCCGAGGCGGGAGAGGGGCTGTGGCGGCCAGGAGGGCCGGGTGACCGGGAAGGACGCTGGACGCGGCCGGCGCTGCCGCCTTTTGTTCCGGCCCGAGGTGGGTGTTTGTCCCGCAGCCTTTTGTGCCGGCTCCTCGCGCTGCCCTCCTGCGCCGCCGCCGCCGCGGAAGGGCAGGAGCAAGGGCCGGGGGAGGAGGTGGCCGGGACCCACGGGAACGGGAGGGAGGGAGCCTGGGCCGCTGCCGGCTGGCCGCTGCCCGCCTCTCCCTGCCGAGCCGCAGAGGCAGCCAGAAAAGATGTGCAAAATAGATAAGAAAAATAAAATTATAAATAAGGCAAGAAGAAAATACGATTTCCTGCCCCCGAGCAAGCCCACGCTCCCCGGTCCTTGGCTTCGCCGCTTTCCTCTTTGACTCCCCCGACTCCCCCCCCCCCGCAAAAATTTCATAATCTCTAATCCAGAGGAAAAAAAATTAACACTCACCCCCTTCCCCAAAATCTCTTCGGTTGCAAACTTAGAGCGCCCGCGGCACAGAGAGGGAGCGAGGAACTCCCTCCTCTTACTATTTTTTGGAAGATTTTCAAAAAAAGTGGAAGTGGATTTTGATTGGGAAAAATCTCGTGTCTGAATGTTTACAAGCACCGCGTGTGCGGGAACCTCCTGCCAACAAACAGACTGAGGACCGAGAGCGGCGCGGCAGCCCGGGAGCAGGCGGCGGCCGAGGCCCGGCCTCGCCCGACCTCGCCGCGCCCCAGCCGAGCCCGGGGGAGCCCACCCGGAGCCCGACGCCCACCCGCCGGGCACTGCTGCAGGCTGCTCTGCTCCGCGGAGCCAGGCCGGCCTTCGGGCCCCGACACCCCCCTAGCATAAGATGCCCAGATCTCCGCCTGACCTTCCACACTGCGAAATCGTCTAGGTGAAACTCGGTTTTGCAAAGCGTTTTTATTTTGCAAAGCAACTGTGAAAGCGCGTTCTGCGCACCCCCCTGCTCGGCTCCAGGTACTCGCTCTGACTTCTCTTGTTCCTAGCTGGAGACCGCAGGGAGGTTACCACGTGCTTTCCCCCTCCCCCGCCACTTTGGCCACCACCAGTTTACCGCGACCCCGGGCACTGCCAGCCGGGTTGGGGCTGGGGCTGGGGTGGGGGCGGGGGAAGAGGAAAGAAACGTGGTCGAGAAAACATTTTGGGGTACTGAGTTCCAAGCCCCTGCGCGCCTCACCCTTGGGTTGTCCTCTGCCCTGAGTCTGACTTGGTCGGGGGTCCTCGGGAGTCCAGTGGCGGGGGTCTCTCCCTGAGATGTTCCTGGAAAGGCAGGCGGTGGCACTTAGGAAACTTTTGAGACTGAGGGAAAGCAAGCCCCGAGAGGGGCCGCATCAAATCCCCCTTCCTCATTTATGGCTTAATTCTTGAAATAAGTTTCAACGGCCACCTATACCAGCTTTTTCATTTTTTATTTTTTAAGCGGGGGTGCGCACAGGGAACTGAATTTTTCTCTGGGCCCTGGAGCTTGTCACACACTTCGGAAGCTCCCCCGCCCCGGCACATTGCGGGGGCCCTCCCTCTCTCCACCCCCGCGCATCCCTCCCTCGCCTCTCTCCCCCGCCCCCCACTCCCCCGGCCGCGCCGGATGCGGAGCAGACGCGGCGCGCGGCGGTGTGAAGTTACAGTCCGGCCAGGTACCGGCGGGAAGGAAGGGCAGGCAGTGTTCGTAGGACTCGGGAAAGCCCGGCCATGCAGAAGGATGCAATGGGGGCGCAAAGGACCGACTGGGGCGCGCAGTCCGAGATGCTCCCTCCCACTCTCCTCCGTCTTGGGTCCGTTTCAGGACACCTCCAGCAGGGAGGGTTAACCCCCAACCCCCTATCTGGGTGCGGGCACTGGGTTGGGGGGCTTAGTTTTGGGAAGGTTGAGGATCGCTCTTTTTTCTCGTAGTCTGGGTACGCACAAGAGGCGGGAGCCATCCCGGCCCTCTGGATCCCCCCCCCCTTTACGTGGGCTGAATGAACCATTTGGTCGCTAGGAGGCAGAACAAGATCAAGAAAGCTCAGCGAACTTGAACCTGTACCAGAGCCTTTTCCCACCCCCTGCCCGGCGTTTCTTGGCCAGGGAGGGACAAGCTTCGCCGAGGGTGGGGGTGGGGGGAACATACAGTTAGGCAGAATTCCCTTTTTCTCCCCCTACCCCATCACTCCTTATGTCTTTGTTCTTCATTTTGACTTTAAAAACGCTTCTGGCCAGGGTCTTGGAGAAGCTGCCCGGCGAGGGGCTGACACCCCCGTGGCTAGCTGAGGACACCAGTGCGCGCTGGGCGCGGAGAGGGGTGCAGTTCTCGCTTTCTTTCCGGGCAGGCATTTTTTTTTTCTTTTCTTTCTTGCTTTTTTTTTCCTTTCCTTTTCTTTCTTTCTTTTTTTTCTTTTTTTTTTTTTTTTGGTAAAGAGGAAAGGTAATGCGCGCTTTTGGGTTTTGGGGCAAGGCCGAAGGGGAGGATGTGCAAGTTTGCACAGGGTCTTCAGGTTCACTTCTTCTAACCCCGCATCCCTGCCCCAACACAGATCTCGGAGGCCGAGGTAGGCTTGCAGGGCAGCTTTGCAGCCGGGAGCTCCCCCTCCCCGCCTCGCCTCCCGCAGCTCTCGCCTCGGAGCCGAAATCACAACAATAGTAATAGTTATCATCATAATGATGCGGGCAAGCTGCGTCATTAATAATGAATAACCGTGGCCGACGCCTGGCGCACACTGGGTGCCCAGAATTACTGGGGGGTGGGATGGGGTGAGGGGGGGGGAGTATTTGCACAAATCGTCCAAAGTAGAAAGTGTTAAGCGTGTGGACACAGAATGAATTTTAGCATCCGTGCTTAGGGTGTGTGCGGTGAAAATGCACCAGGAATGCACCAGGTTAACCAGCCGAGTTTTCCGGATCCCTCACTGCCTTCTTCTCCAACTGGCGGGCTCAGGGAACCAGCCCTCCGCGGCGGGGCTGGATGGGCGTGGAGGCAGCAGTCGAGGCCCCGGCAGCCCGCCGCTCCCAGACCCTGAGCCCGCTGCCCCAGGGCCGCTGGTGCACGTGTCCGCAGCTAGGGCGGCCGAGCCTGCAGCTAAGCTGCTCGCTTTGTGCCTCTTGGTAGAGTCCTGGCGCCCAAGTTCACTTTCTGGGCCACCCATCCTAACGGGACCCCTAGCCCCGGGCCTGTGGCCCTTGGCTTCCCTCTTTTTTTTTTTTTTTTTGCTTTTCCCTCTCTGCATCTCAACCTCTGTTTGCTTCATTCCCTTAAGAAATTTCAGGGGAAGTACTTGGAAAGCAAACTTGAAGACGCTTTTCCCTCTACCCCTCCCCCACCTCCGCAGCAGCCCTCGTTTCCCCTTGCTTCTTTCCGACTTTTCATTTAAGGATTAAAAAATACATGTATTCTTTTGCAACTACGGGAAAGGAACGAGATTTTAGCTTGCCACTGGGACACTGAGACATTCCAGTGTGTCTTGCTGAACGCTGAAGCGTTTTATTTGCTGTGTTTTCCTCGCCTTGTAGACAGAATTCGTGGGTAATTATTATGATTATTTGCCCACTCCCTTCCACTTC